GACTCGCAGCCGCATAAAAACGGAGCAACGCCCACTACCGGCCTCCTGAAGCCTCGCAACCACCGCCTCCCCTCCTCCTCCTCTTCACCCTGCCTCCAATCTGCCTTCAATTTTCTTCCCGCTGCCAAATGCCGCCACCAGTGCCTAGGTCCCGGGGGATTGTGCGCGCTCATCGCAGGAGCCTTTCCGATCCGAAGGCCGCACCGGGACCTAGGGCGCCAAACCTCCTTTCATAAAATACTCAACTTCCTGTTTCTCGTCTCTCCAAATTGAAATGAAGCAGTCCTTCCTCGTCGACTGAAAGCAAATCCATCCATCCATCCATTTTCTTCCCCTTAATCCATTCCTGGGTCGGGGGTGTCAGTCAGAGCTGCACCCAGTACCACCAGCCCCTCACTGATCCTCCTGCAGGTGCTGAGTCCACAGGAGCTGAGATCTTTCAGTGGGGGATTCAGGCAAAGTGGGGTTAAGTGTCTTGCCCAACGACATAACGTCAGCAGTCATCAGTCGGAGTCGTGAAGTAGGTCTTATGGTGGGCTCGAACCCACGACCTTCAGGCTCTAAGGCCGATGCTCTACCAACTGAGCCACTGTTTTGTTTAGCCACATCTGCTTTCACTGAAAGCAAATGTTCATTCTTTTTCTTAGTCCAGTCTTTTTATCGACTCTTTCTCTTTTTATCTTTGGCTGCTCCATGCACACACGCCGGTTTGTTTACCACAGCGGCCGCGTCACAGGATATGACGCACTATGTCGACAGAAATGTTGAAATTGAATTTTACATATGCACATTTTTACACCATTTAAAAACATTAACAAAGTTTTGCCTCCTTCAGAAACCACATTTAATCTAGAAATAAAATATAGACCTCCCACTCCATTTTCAGACATTTTTTAAAAGGCTCCAGGAGCCACTGGAGGAGCACTGAAGAGCCGCAGGTTGCTGACCCCTGGTCCAGACCCTTCTGCATCAGAGAGGACCAAGTCTAAAATCCACATTTTTACCTCTATCAGTTTTATCTTAATGCCATGACTTTCTTCACCAAAACACCAAACACCGTCTGTCTCCGAACTGGAGTAATTGCTTTGATTGTGTGCGTTTGAATGTTCCGTGGTCTCTTCCCGTCCAGGACACTTTTGTTTATGCATTTCCCGCTAACAAAGAAACAAAGAGCTAGCCCGCGGTCCAGAGTTAGCGCTGCTCAAAGTGGCGTCTATAGTGCTATCCCCAGATCTGCTCCGTCTCTCTACAGTAACTCGCACCTGAAAAGACCAGAGAGGAAATAATGGACCCTTTGTGCCGGGCTTATCACCTGCAGCCAGCTCTGTCGGGGTGAAATTAGCTTTTGCGGCTGCGAGCAATCTGCGGCTGATGAAACACGCGAGGAGAGCATCGGTGCGAAGACCCGGTAATGTACGGCTGAGAGGGAGCAGAATTATCATGGTTTAAAAAGCTTTGCTGAGGCTGTAAACGAGTCTGTGCCCGTTAGAAAAAGGGCCTGTGCTTTATCACAGAGGGAGACGACTCTGATAAATGTACTTTTTCACTCTGGTCTCTCTCTGGTCTCTCCCTAGTCTCTCTGGTCTCTCTCTGGTCTCTCTCTGGTCTCTCCCTAGTCTCTCTGGTCTCTCTCTGGTCTCTCTCTGGTCTCTCTCTGGTCTCTCTCTATTCTCGCTCCCTAGTCTCTCCCTAGTCTCTCTCTGGTCTCTCTCTGGTCTCTCTCTGGTCTCTCTGGTCTCTCTCTGGTCTCTCTCCCTAGTCTCTCTCTGGTCTCTCTCTGGTCTCTCTCTGGTCTCTCTGGTCTCTCTCTGGTCTCTCTCCCTAGTCTCTCTCTGGTCTCTCTCTATTCTCTCAGTGGTCTCCAGACTCTGACAGATCCAGAGTCTGACAGATCCAGACTCTGACAGATCCAGAGTCTGATAGATCCAGACTCTGACAGATCCAGACTCTGATAGATCCAGACTCTGACAGATCCAGAGTCTGACAGATCCAGACTCTGACAGATCCAGACTCTGACAGATCCAGGACCTTCCCGGGTCTTCGTCAGTCGCTGTGCTTCTTTTGTTCACTGCCAACAGACCTCAGCGTCCTCCATGAATCATTTCTGTCAAACTATTGTCCTCGTTCTGTACAGTAGCAACACAATGTCCTTGGAAGACGCTGTATTTCAGCTGCTGACTTCCCACGGAGAGAAAATCGTTCACTGAAGAGTCTGAGTGCGTGAAAATAGAGAATCAAACTTGTGTTACCGTAAACATGTGTGCCTAATATCCTTACAGAGAGAAATAGTCCAGTTTTTTGTGGTTTGAATGTTAGCTCGTTAACCTGTTAGTTTGTTCGCCTATCAGCTCGTTAGCCTGTTAGCTCTTTAGCCTATAAGCCCGTTAGCCTGTTAGCCCATTAGCCTGTTAGCTTGCTAATTCACTCAAAGACGTCTTTCAGGCCCTGTCCCATCCACAGCTTTCATGGACTTTCATTTTTCATAACTGGACTTTGCTCTTTCCACCGTCTGACGGCAGCCTGTTAGCTTATTAGCCTGTTAGCTCGTAAACCTTGTTTATTTGGTTGGGACAGGGCATGTTAATGAACACGTCACTCCGGATTGTACCTTGGGCTAATTTGCGTCCGTTGTCCCACATTCGCACTCACAAACACACACTCATTCACCCTGAACTATTGCACATGTTTTTAGTGGTAGGGGAAACCGGAGTACCCGGAGGAAACCTACACAGACACGGGGAGAACATGTAAACTCCACTCAGAAAGTCCCTGTTCCGACTGGGATTGGAACCCAGAACCTTCTTGCTGAGAAGCGAGAGTGCTATCCACTCAGCCACCTGTTAGCTCGTTAGCCCGTTAGCCTGTTAGCCTGTTAGCTCGTTAACTCTCTCAAAGACGTCTCTCAGTCCCTGCCCCAGCCACAGCTTTCATGGACTTTCATTTCTCATGATTGGACTTTGCTCTCGCCACCGTCGGAAGAACGGGCTGTACCGCCGTGTTATCTGGCACCTCCTATAAATTCCAATTATCTGCGTGGCTTGATAGCATCACACCCCCATGTCACACAATCCCACACACACACACACACACACACAATCCCACACACACACACACACACACACACACACACACACACAAATACCAAACGTCACAATAAAACCCAACTCCTGTATCATCCTTGGATGCAATCTCGCCACCTCCTTCTGAGATAACCTCCAGTTGGCTGTAATTAGGGCTGATTTAGCATGATCCAAGCTAGGGGCCAGATAAAATAAACATGATTAGCTCAGACAAACGCGCGGGTCAATATTTTTCAGGCCACGGAAATTAATAAAACATCGGGTTTAATAAGCAGGCGGCGGCTCAGGCTGAATGCTGAGCAGGAGGAGAGAGATAAGGCTCCCTGCTGTGCCAATGCAATATGTGACGGGCTTCGGCTGCGGAATTTTAAATAATTGCTGGTTTTCGAGGTTTAGAATTGGAATAAAACAGTGTCATGAATGTTAACGTATTATGTGTGTTGACTGCTCGATATCGCCTTTGCTATTTCATGTGTTGGAATGTGAAATTGTTTTATGACGGAGAAATTACAGGGTGGGACACGTGCGAAGGGAAACAAAAAGCTTTAGCCTGTAACTCCCTTTGCTGCCACCAGAGGGAGCAGAAGATAAGAACTTTTATACGTCCTGCAATGGGGATTTTTTACATGAGTAAGTAAGTAAGTAATGTTTATTTATATAGCGCATTTTACAGACCAAGGTACAGACCCAAAGCACTTTACAAAGTTTAGAGTCAGATATTATAAAGTTCATGCCTCATGTTAAAAGCAGGATAACTTTAAAGCAGTGGTATTCGTCAAACTTATTAGTTTGAAAACATCTAAACCTGGGATAGCTCTCAGCCCTGAACTGCGTCTGGTGAATTGTGGCTTAGTAGAAAAAGTTTGGAGACCTATAGCACTAAAAGACAATTATTTAATAAAAAATAAATCGAGTGGTGACTTTCACCCGTCTCTGTCGGCGGCTTGTACAAAAACCATCAAAAATCCGAACAGAAACTGCGTCGAACGATTGAAGGAAGCGGAGCATTCTTAGTGTAGCGTTAGCGCTGGCTATCTTGTGGAGCAGGGACCAGGACCCTGGACCAGGAGCGAGTGACTGGACCAGGATCTGACCTGGAGCGAAGAGCGTGAGGCCTTCTGACGGGGGAGGGGATTAGCCGTGTTAGCCGTTAGCATTAGCCGTTAGCATTAGCCGTTAGCATAGATCCGTTAGCATTAGCCGTTAGCATTAGCCGTTAGCATTAGCCGTTAGTTAGCATTAGCCGTTAGCATTAGCCGTTAGCATTATCTAGCCGTTAGCATTAGCCGTTAGCATTATGCCGTAGCGTGTCTAACCTGACCCTCACCTTTAGGCTTGTTGCTTCGATGAGCTTGATTCCTTCATTGATCTCCTTCCCAACTCAGCTATCCAGGGCATTTTTCAGATTCGCTGTAAGAGGCAAACTCTACCACCCATTAGAGACAACGAAGGTTATAGCCACACGTTTTAACACACACACACACAAACCAAGGAGGCACCTCACCCTTCGTTAGTTTTGGGCCGGGGTGCGACACGCGAAAGTCACCTCTCCGGCTTTGCTCATGTATTCTTTCCAGATCCTACACATGACAGTTTTCAGTGAGAATTCCATATACTGACAGTTTAATTAGCAGACGGGGGGGGATAGAAATCTGATGCGATATCGTCCAAGAACCACTCCAAAAAAAAAGTGTTAGCGTTGGAAGACATTAGACATCTCAGGTCACGCCCTCTCTGGAATCCTCTACTACTGAGGTCAGAGGGCTTCTCTCTGACCTCAAAGAGAGGGGCCTCTCTCTGGTCTTCCCATAAGCCTCAGTCCAACGTTAGCATGGCACTAAGCAGACATTAGCACATAGCAGGAGGCTACAAGGTTGAGGTGTTTGACATAAAACGTGGGGCTACACAGATACATGTAGATCAAAAGTGCAGATGGGGGCCACAGGGCGGTGGGGCACAGAGGTGCCCCAGAGGACCAGCGCAGGGGCGGCAGGGCTCGTCCGTACCTCGGCAAGAGGAGTGAACAGCGTTGGAAGAGAGGAAACTACTACCTTTGCGAGCCACCGGGTGGGCTAAGCCACGGGAGAACACACAAAACCTCCGGCTCTCGCTGCGAGTGGGAGAGGATATGGAACGTCCCCACGACTAAAACGAAACCTCGAACCAACCGCCACCAATCCTCAACCGCACCACCATCGACTCTCTCTGCCTCTGCCAACACTGTGCCTCTCTCATCCTCATCGCTCAGACCCGCACATGGTGCCCCTTTGATACGGGTCGTCAACTATAGCTGCAGTAGTAGTAACAGTAGGACACACTGGCTCAACCAGACAGAAGGACCCAGAAGGGGATAACTCCACCATACGCGACAACAGTCAGGCTGGCAAATAAAGGGGTAAGAATTGGGTTAAAATGTAATACAAAAGACAATTGGAAACAAACTGGAATGTGCAGCTATTTTGTCTTTGAGTCATGGCTTTAACAGAACAAACAAGGGTGGGAAAACAGTGACTGGTACGTTACTGAGGCTAGCATCAGTCTACAGTGTGTGTGAGGGAGCGAGTTGTGTGGAGCAAACACAGACCTGCCAGCTCACGCGAGACACCAGGTTCACCACGATCAGACGGTTCTCTGTGCGCATCGGCGGCGGTTGCGGCTGCTGCAGATTAAACAGAAACCAGGAAATTCATTACACTGAGCTCTGTAAATCCTGTCAGACTTGTAAACAGTTGATGGGGCAAAACAGACTGTTTTAAGGACACGATGATCAAAGCCTCTGGGAATCTAAATCTATTTGACTAAGCATTCTATTGGTCCAGTAGAACCAAAGGTAAAAGGTCCATACATCAGGCCCTGTGCATTTTCCCTGCACTCTTTCTCCCACCTCGATCTGATGCTGTACCTGCGACTGCTCTGAGAGCCTCTGCCGAAGCGATCTGACGATAGAAACTTCCCCCAGATCTGCAGGCTCTTCCTCGGCCACCCGCGCAGACCGCACTCGGGCGTGTTTTCTATGGTCACTCTCAGAAACAGGAGAAAGTCAAGTTATAGAGGGAATATTAGTGTTCAGTTCAGGCTTCTATGTGTTTACTCCAACAACATCATACACAATCACCAATCGGTAAAGCCACTCTGGGCCCTCTCCCCTCATCAGGGCGAGTTTAGGTTTTTACCTTACGTGGGTTGATCTTTGGAACACGATCACCCCTGTTTTTAAACCACTAAAAACAGGAGCAGAAAGATTGGCAAGTGACTCACCTTCGTTGTCAAAGTTCTTTGCCATCCGAGCTCATAAACTGGTAAAATCATCTATCAGCGTCCCACGGGGTCCGAAATCCTGCCATAAACAGAAGCAAAACTTTGAGCTGCAGCACAAGTTAATAGAATGTATCCGTCGTTGAAGAAGACTGTCACTGTTACTCAGATTTGAAGCAAAGACTCAGACAAGTTGGGAATGTGGACGAACCGGAGCCTGCGCTGGGGAGTCTTGTCTTCCTGAAAACCTTTAGTGTTCTGGGTAAAGAACACTACTGCAGTTTCATCCCTGAGCAAATGTTATTCTACCACAGTACCTCTGCCTCGTTATTAAGCGGGGACCTGACGAGGTGTAGGCGAGGGACAGAGAACCTCCTCTGTTCCAGTCCATCCCATGAAAACAGCAGGAAGAAGATAAAGCTCCCACTTACACCCCTCACACTTGCACTTGAGTCTTTGAATGTGGGTGGATAGAGCGCTCACAAAGGAGCATAGAATGTGATACTACCGCAGCGGAAGCGAGAGATGGAGCATGAGAGAAATTATGTAATGAACTGACACAAGATACTCTCCTGTAGATAGACTGCAGTCTCATCCCCACTGATGTCCTTTACATATTTAAAAACAAATCCTTAAACATCCGCTCACCGCACACCGAAACGCAGCGCCTCGCGGCGCGTCATTTGACGCGCGTTCATGACATGTGTCAAATTACACCGGAACGCCTTGGCTAGCGTCCTTTTCCAGCTGATCGCAGATGAAATGGGTGAGTGACGTTTGGAAGTTTCTACTAATATTTTGGGGGAGGAAACAAAGTATTTACGTGAAATTATGCTGGCAAATATTACAAGAAAAGACTATTTGGACCCATTTTTTAAACAGGCTAATAACTAGCTCTGGGTAACGCTGTACTTGGGTTATCAAGCTTTCCTCGTCCATTGTGACCGGTTTACTTGAGCAATAGCGCCGACAAGTGTGTAAATTTGAGACCGCGCTCACAGCTACGTGATAAGAAGCGCAGAAGAAGAAAACTACGGGTGCTTGGAGGGACAGTTTCAGCCGCGGCGCCGCGTCTGGATTCAACAAAACTGAATCGTGGCGCCCGGTCCAGCGTCGCCGCGCGTCACTGCAACCTTGGTGTGCGTTCTCTCATAGAAAATAAAGGAGGCGGCTCTTTTGCCGCGCGTCAAGGCGTTTCGGTGTGCGTTGGGCTTAAGGGAGGTCGGGATTGAACGTCATATCCACGTATATGGGAGGTCATTGTTTTACGTCCAGATGCGCACCTTGCACAGACGTCGTTTGGACGTAAATAAAAGGTCACGACCGACCGACGCGATATTGACGTGATCTGGAGGTTGAGTGGACGTCGGATGTTTAGTGGGTTGTTCCAATCCTTCCACACACGGTGATGACAGAAGCGAGTCCAGAACACACTGGACCATCAGCTCCAACAGCATCATTCACTCTCTCATTTACATTCAGACCTATTGTGCATGTTTTTAGTGGTAGGGGAAACCGGAGCACCCGGAGGAAACCTACGCAGACACAGGGAGAACATGCAAACTCCACTCAGAAAGGCCCTGTTCCGACCGGGATTCGAACCCAGGACTGAGAAGTGAGAGTGCTATCCTCTCAGCCACCGTGCCGCCCATTAGAATGACTCTGGTGTGTGTGTGAGTGTGGTTGGTGGTGGTGGGAGGGGCCGATGGCACAGACTGGTTGCCTCAGCGTGCCCCGGGGCAGATGTGGCTGCAGTAGTAGTTAATGTTCGGAGTGAAAGAATAACGACATGTGAAGCGTCCTTGTGAGTCCTCAAAGCGCTGTATAAAACTATTATTATTATTATTATACCGTCTTTGGTCCAGGTCTGTTTTGTGGCGAGGGGACGATGCTGTAACTTGGTTAAAAGCTTAAACATGTTTCTTGTCGTCGTGCCTTTGCTTCAACAAATGGAAATGATTGGAGAGAATGTGAACCCGGTGTCCTCGCTCCTGGATCCGGGTTTGTTTTTCTTCTTTTTAGTCCAATGCTGCGGTAACCTTCCAACAAGCTGTACATAATGTTCATCTGTGAAATGTAGTCCGACAAACAAGACAACAGAAGAACATTCCGCTGTGGTCTAACGCGGGAAACAGAGCGGCAAAACCAATGGAGATAAAAGGCTGATTACATTTAGGTTGAACTCAGCGCCGAGAGAGAGTCTGAGCTGCAGCTACATGAACACTACCGACCGACCAAAGCAACCTGTCGTTCCCACTGCTACGGCCAGATTGGGGGAGTCCAACCCGAGGCCTGGGGGCCACATGAGGCCAGCGGTGGCATTGAACGTGGCCCTGTGCTCGGGTTAGCCTCAGCCATTGCAATCATACACATATATAGACAGAGAGTCATCTTCACTCACTAATCTCTCCTCATCTGTCATTGGCTTTGACTTTACAACACGTATTTGTGATTTGTGGCCTTGCATGCGTGAGCCAGATCCCATCAGACCTCTGGAGCTAAGCAGGGCAGGGCCTGGCAGGAGTAATCTACCACCACTGTATGGACTGAAGAATAACGACATTACGTGGCCTGAAGCGTCTTTGAGTCTCTGAAATCACATGTATAAAACTAAGGCATTATCAGAGTTATTATTCTCATAACATGTATGACATCATGTCGCTCATTATCCGTGTTGACATTCAGCCACTTCTGCCTCATCAGATGTGAATCACTGTGAACATGTCAGAGCTATTTTAAAGCTCAGAACAGTCTGAATCCAGTCAACACGTTCACGACACGGGTCATCGGCCCTGGAACAGTTTAGTGAGCCACAGTCCAGGGCCAGGTCTTCAGCCCGAGTCAGATCTTTTTGGTCAACATTGAAAATTGTATGTAGTATTTGAAGATGGGATTGTTAAAACAGCAAGAAGAGCTCTGAATGTAACAGTGTGAGGATTGGTCGTAGTGTCGTAGCGTTGGGGATACGAGCCTTTTACACAGAAGGGGCGGGGAGACGTGGTTGTGCCTCAAGTTCAGACCGAGCTAAACACAACTCAAGGTGTTTGCTGAGGGACAATGCTGTAACATGGTTAAATACTCAAAAAATATGTATGTCTCATAGTGAAGAGGGAGCAGCGTCTGAAGTCAGAGTTCTTGATTTACTGTTCAGTCTCCGTTCCCTCCCTCACCTCATAAGTTTTGGGTAATGACCGAATGGAGAGATCGCGGATTCAATCTCCACATGAGTCACCTCCGCAGAGTGACTGGGCGCTCCCTTTGAGATAGAGGAGCTCAGTCACTCAGACAGAGCTCGGAGTAGACCAGCTGCTCCTCCACTAGCAGAGGAGCAGGTGAGGTGGCCCGGACGCGTCATGGTCCACAGGGAGGAGCCCAGGGGAAGACCAAGGACACAGAGGGACTGAGTCTCAGCTGACCTGGGAACGCCTCAGGGAAGTCTGGGCATCTCTGCTTCGACTGCTGCCCCTGTGACCCGGCAACGGATGAAGCGGAAGAACATGAATGAAGTCTGGGCATTGTGAATTAATTTTATCTTATTATACGGCTCCTCACAGCAGCAGTAGAACGCTCCATTGATTTGAATGTAATTTCAAAATGTTCTACCGGTCATTATTTTCTATAACGGACCTCTCAAAACAATAACGCACTCTCTGCTTGTCTTTCAAAAGCGTGGATAACTCCGCAAGTAGTTCCGGCCACTCCGGAGCTAGCCACGCTCAATCAACACACTTAAATGTTAATCGGAGAATACTTATACATATACATTCTTCACACACGTGCACGGAAATTTTCAGAATTTTCTGCTCTTGTCTTCATGACAAAAATACTATTTCTCTGCGTCAAAAAGTGATCGTGAAAAACCCGGAAGTAGTTCCGGCCGCTCAATAAACGCAAATGCCAATCAATCAACGCAATGAAATGTTAATCGGAGAGTAATTTATACATATACAGTCTTAATACAAGTGCACGGAAGTTTTCATAATTTTCCGTTTACGTTTTCATGACAAAAACACTGATGTAATGCGAGAAAAGGCGATCCCGAAAAACCCGGAAGTAGATACGACACATTTTCTGACACATTTGCAGAGGATCGAATTATGGATTTAGGTTAGGTTTATGTTTGGGTCACTCACCGCTGATGTTCAGGATTCTTTGTTCAGTTTTCATGCAGTTCCAGAGAGTTCTAGTTTGGAAGTTGCTAGCCTAACTGTTGCTAGCATAGCCACGGGAAAACCTTTGGGAACTATTTTATTTTCTGTCATTAAATAAACCTTTGGGCATTCCTAAAAGTGGACTGAAGTTTATGTTGTGTGTTCTGTTGGTATAAAGCCGTAAAATAAGCGGGATAACGTATATTACGCAGGTCATTATCGGAAAATAAGTACCTTCAGGGCGGAAGCGGACCCCGACGCATAGGAGGGGTCCGCTTCCGCCCTGAAGGTACTTATTTTCCGATAATGACCTGCGTAATATACGTTATCCCTTACTTAGACATGAGACAAGGAGACATCAGAAGGTTGCAATGTTCCATTGGTATTTATTAGCAGTTTTAAGAAAGGTACCAGACAGCTCCAAAGTCTGGTCCATGGGTGCTCCTGCAGAAGTCTAGCAAGAGTCTACATAAGTCTAAACAACTCTGCCAAAGTCTGATCGTCACAGAGAAGTATGGCGCTTATATAGGCTTTAAAAGAGGACGTAAACACATAGACTTTGGAAACATGACACAGCAGAATTAACCGTATGGCTTCAATGTAAGGCACATGTAGGCCAAGAATGGTATGAACACATGGCTTATTCACAGACCAAAGTCCAACGTATGAGATGGTTTATCTATGTACTGTACATTTATGTTTCGTAAGCTGTTTAAAGCACAATAGTAAACAATTTGAAACGCCATAGATCAGTGTCTATCTTAAACTGCAGCCAATAATATTTAGATCACAGCATCAAAATGTGTAAAGTCAATGAAATACGCAATCATTTTGTAGTAAAACAGCAGCATACATGTTTGGTGTTTAAAACTTTGATTAAAATGTGGGTTAAAAAAGGCCGATAAAAGCAATAAATAGTCCATACATATTAGAAGATTTCTGCCCCTGTGATCGGCAACGGATGAAGCGGAAGATAACGGATGGATGGATGTCTCCTTAAAAACCAGTCGCTGTGATGGCAGAAGCACGGAGCAAATTTTACTTTTTACCACAGGCTCGAAAAGCTAACATCTCAATTCAATTCTCTCTGTTCTCCCCGAAAGCTCCGTTAGCCTCAAAACAGCACATATAAAACAACAACTTACACCTTTACACATTCCCAAAGCCTTCTCTAATTTTCCCCATTCACACGTCTGTAGAGTTTCCATCTCTCCGGCTCCTCCGCTGGAGTCGTGAATACAAATGAGGACATCTTTGTGAATCCTCCCGTTTCTACCCAGTCATATTCAAATGCTCCTCTTGACAAACGAGCCGGCCCCGCAGACGTACCATACATTATTATGATTTAATGATGTGGGTGATCCAGATTATGTCGGAGATAAATCATTCCCTTCCCTCACTTTGAACAATGACAGTGTGATATTAGCTTTTGGTTAGTCATTAGACCGGGGTCACACATTATTTCTTAATTCAATCTCCAAAAAGGATATTCCCAAACGCCGCTTTATTTCCGGCCTTTTCCAAAATCATCACCATTGATCACTCTGCAAATGTAATCCCGACCGCTATCGCCTCGGCATGTGGCTGCAGCTAGCTACGCTCAAAAGGCTGTTAGCTTGTGCGTACATTCAGCGCTTGTTTTAATTAGAGTGGGTTCTGTGGCAATATCTGTGATGAAAGGGCTTCTATACGGAGTCTCTACAGAGCATTAATATTGTAGAGGAGCCATTGTGGGGCTGGTGTCTTCATGCATATTGCAGTGGGGCCTGGTGTGTTCCAGATATGTCAGACTTTAGGGTCGTGCTGAGGCGTTATGCAAGCCCTGAGGTGGCTTATAACCCCGGTCTCTTAAAGATGTCTGCCCCCGGTCTCTCCATGATGTCTTACACTGGTCATTCCAAGATTTCTGCCCCAAGTCTCTCCAAGATGTCTGACCCTGGTCTTTGCAAGATGTCTGCCCTAGGTTTCTCCGAGATGTCTAAAGCCTAGTGTATACTCGCGCGGCGCGGAGCTCACGGAGGTGACGTGACGTCAAGGCCTTTACGTTGCCTGCCGCGCAGCATCGAAATTTTCTAACTACGTAAGGGTCGCCGCAAGGAAGCTCCGCTGTGATTGGTCCGTGTGTGTGTATTGGAAGGAAGCACGGAGCGGCTGCAGCAGGAGCATGAAGGAGGCACTATGGAGCAGAGAGCTTTGTGCTTCGAAGGAAAAGCAGTTTGGGCTCAGAGCCTGATATACAGGAGACTGTGGACTATCTAACATATATATAACTTATATCTAACATATATATAACTTATATATAACTTATATCTAACTTATATCTAACATATATATAACTTATATATAACTTATATATAACTTATATATAACTTATATCTAACTTATATCTAACATATATATAACTTATAAACTGTTCCTGTCTTGTTTGAATCGTAGCTGCGTTTGTTGCTTTCCTCCTGCACTCGTAAATCGTTCATGTTTGTCTCAGATATTTACCACTATTATTGTTTTGCTGTTTGTGCTGAAAACTATTTAATAATAACTATGTTTCCAACAAGAACTGTGTCTTTATTCACAGCATCACAGTTGAAATGACTTATAAAATAATGAATCCATAAAACTATCACATAAACCTACAGTAGAAACACGTGTAATGATGAGCTCAAACAGCTTTGTTTGTTAGTAGTCGGCAGAGTAATCGCGCCGCAACTGCCGTGGTGGAAGCAGTCGTTTACTTTATTTTTATTACTCTAGCTTCTCTTCTCGCTCGGCTCTTTTCCTGCTCTCTCCTCAGGTGTTTCTCTTCTCCCAGCCCATAAAAAATTCACCGGCTCCCTTGCTCATGGTTTTTTGTGGTTTTTTTTGTGTTTTGGCTGTCCCAGCGTGGGAATGAAAACAGTTGCGAAGTTAAAAAACAGGGAAAAAGGGTAGTAAGTAAAATGGAGTAAAATGAGAAACTTTGACTGGATATATATTAAAATCACTACAAAATAAAAGACAACAGTAAAAGTGCAACGTGGGATGAAATTCTCAGGTACGTATACAGCAGAACCGAACGTGTCTTGGACTTCACGTCTTTAGAGCACTTTTAGATGTATGTAAAAAGTAATAAAAAGTCAAAGAGGACGAGGACAAGACAATGTTTTTTAATAAGATCATCAAAACAGTTTGTACACAGCAGCACAGTCGTCTCTGAGGACTTGGGTCCCATAGATAGGTGGTCGATGACGTGAGGCATGACCACGGTGGGTCCTGATGTGCAATCAGCCCAGCATCATTCAATTCTATCAATTATGACATTAAATTGTAATTTAGTTTTGGTCTTTTTGACTCAATTTACTTATAGTTTTAGTCCAATTTCAATTAAGATTATTAATTTTCTGAAAGATGTCGCTCTATGACATTAGCATGAATAAGGAACCATGTTTATTGATCCCTTTCGTCTGCTGATTTGGCTTTTGATCCTTGGTCTGACTTTTCGTCTCGTCTTTCATTTGTGCCCAAAAAAATCATTCATGCCGTGAAAAAATTGTCGAGGTAATCGCCATCACTGTCCTTCGACCCTTCTGCACCGACATCAAACAGGTTCCCAGAATGCATTGCGTCACAGCGGCCTAAAAGTGTAATAAAAACAACATCTGTAGAAATGCTGCTGAAGCGGATCCAAGGTGGTCAGCTGTGTTTCTCCTCCGGCACAGCCCACTTCCGGCGAACCTCTTTGTCGTACATCAACCAATCACTCTCGGATGAAATAATCTATATTTTCACAATTTTGCGGAGTGCTTTTCACAGCACGCTGCACCCCTCCCCCCCCCCCCCCCCCCCCTCTCCCATCTGCTCTGGGAAGACTGATGTAAGTGTAATCGACCAAACGACGGCTTCAGCTGCCGGAGCCACACAGGGAAAGACTCACGGCATCCACAACAGCTGCAGCGACGACCCGGAATATCCTCCGACACCGGCATCCGGAAGAAGAAGAGGGTGTGGGGGGGGGGGTGTATTTTTACAGCACAGATTAAACGTACAATCACATACATGAAACTACACAAACATCGGGTGAGAAAGGGCAGCAAAAACGTGGGCTTTGAATTTATATTTTTTCCGAGCGGGAAGACGAAAATTCCAAGATTCTGAGATGGACTGAATACATAAGATCTTCCCGGTTTCTATGCTAACGAAACATAGAACTTCCTCCGTCGGTGGCTGAGAGTGGGCTTTCTGAGTGGAGTTTAATGTTCTCCCCGTGTCTAGGTCTATCCGGGTGCTCGGTTTCCCAACCACGAACAATATTTACAATGGGTATGAATGTACATGAATGACTGATTGACTTCCAGGTTGTTGGTTTGGTGGCTCAGATGCACCGTGCGTGTCGGCGTCTCGCTTTGGGTGACCTTGGTCTGTAAAACGCGCTAAATAAATAAACATTACATTACCTGACCAGTTTCACATCCTAACGGCTAACAAAGAAACTCTCTCTTATGCTAACCGGGCTTGTATTAGCCTGGTCGTACCACGCCATAGTACAAATGACATTTCGTACTAAGGTCTGGATTTGCTCCATTGACTCAGTTTACAGGTGGGAGGGGTCAACTCCTTTTGCAGACTGAAACGATTGGATCTGAGTTTACCGTGACTTATGTAATGAGCCCGAGTCTGTTGTTAGCATGTAGCATTTAGCCTAGTCATCTCCTTTGCCGCTAACGGAGCCCGTGGGGAGTCGCGCCACAATTTTTTCCAGCGATTACATTTGCTAAACATTACCCTCGCTCCGCATCAATTTCTTGATAGAACCAGACCGATTACTTTACTATCGAATGTTTTACTATCGCAGGCTAGGCTTGTATAGAAAATATGCCCGGTTTTTCAGATCTCGACCTCAAAGAAATTCTTTGGAAGAGTTGAGAGTCCGTGTTGCCAAACAACGAGAAGAGGTCTGCAGGAAGAATGGGCAAAATTCCAGGAACAGTCTGTGAAAAACTTTTTGGAGACCCCCTAGCTGTATCTTGGTTCATAGTTTTTGTGTTTCTAAACATAACTAACTAATTATTAACGGATGTAGTCACGCATATCTCCACCGTTTAAAACTCATCTGCCTCCACTTTTGTCTTCTATGGGCTTTTTCAAATAGCCGCGGGGCAAGAAAATGGGAAAAAAACACATTTGCGCATGGCGATCAGCCGGCGCTAGCCCCATTCATTTAACGGGTGCATTCTGAAGTCCACAGCGGCGAAACGAAACTTGACCTGGTCCAAAAAAATATATATTCACCTCAACATCGACAACATTGGAACGAGGAGGACCAAGGACGCCACTTTTGGACAGGAAGCCACTTTTGAACCAGGAGCCACGTTTGGACTAGGAGCCACTTTTGGACCCTATAGGAGCCACTTTTGGACCATCCCTATAGAGACTTTTTTTTGAGAGGAAAGAAGACGCCATTCAAAAGCATTGGGTAATTCTGTTTCCGGGTACACCCCCGCAGGCCCCGAGTGAGATTGCAGCATTTCAGCCCATTTGATCCGGGACCTTTTGGAGCCGGGACCCACCCACACTGGTTTGATTCTCGGACCTGATTCACATTAAATTGATTTAAAATTGAATTAAAATATTCATAAAGGTTAAAGTTTTATAGGAGGTGTTCTTCTTCCAGGTCGATCATCAAGACTATTGGTCTTAACTGTCAATCATTCTGTCGTACGTGCCGTCAAACAAAGAGTGTTTTTGAAGGTTCTTTCCCTCGATGGCGTTGGTTCTCACTGATGCTTCAGTTGCCAAGTTTCTACTCCATTTCAAATCCCTTCCCGTAAGAGTCTGGTGAAAAACTAAACATTCTTTGGCAGGATTCCGTCGGTTTGAAAGGGAGCAGTCAAAATGACAGCTCTGGGAGATGTCTTGTAGTTTCAGAATCACCTTTAATTAGCTTATTTGACTCTGATTGTATTGGACCACTTCACACCCACCGCAATTACCAACAACCACATAGAGCTATGACCACGGCCGCCATCGTCGCCATGGTAACAAACGCCATGGTGTTTACAGGGTGAAAAACGCTCTCTCTCTGGTCTCTTTCTTTGGCTCTCTCGGGTCTCTCTCACTCTCTCCCTGTCTGTCTGTCTCTCTCTTTCCCTGGTTTCTCTCTCTCTGATCTCTTTTTCTCGCTCTCTTGGGTCTCTCTCACTCTTTTCCTGTCTGTCTGTCTCTATCTCGCTAACTGGTCTCTCTACCTCTCTAGCAGGTCTCTCTCTACCTCTCTCTCTGGTCTCTCTCACTTTCTCCCTGTCTGTTTCTCTCTATCTCTCTCTCTCTCTTGGGTCTCTCTCACTCTCTCCCTGTCTGTCTCTCTCTCTCTCTCTCTCTCTCTTGGGTCTCTCTCACTCTCTCCCTGTCTGTCTGTGTTTCTCTGGTCTTTCTCTCTTCCTCCCTCTCTCTGGTCTCTCTATGGTCTCTCTCCATCCCACTTTCCCTCCCTCCCTCCCGCCCTCTCTCTCTCTCCCTCTGGGCAATGGAATAGAATTGACCCTGAGGTGAGTAGCCCCGCTCTCTCTCTGTCTGTCTCTCTCCCTCTCTCTCTCTTTCTCTCTCTCTCCCTCACACCGCTCTCTCTCTCCTCTTCCCCGAGAGCCGGAAAAGTGTCGTCTAATTGAGTGTTTGACAATGGCGTCCCGTGAGGATCATTTTTCACTGGAATGGGATTCAGATTGAAGTCGGTGAACGGTGTTGTGGTTCTGAGGCATCGATCACCTGGAGGGGGGCGGGGGAGGAGGGGAGGGAGGGCAGGGGAGGGACCATGTGGAGAGCCTGGTTCTGTCTGAAACCAGGAGAGAGGAATGCTGAACAGTGTTATTGATTATTTTTGACACACCATAGACTACAACAAACTGCTACAGAAGAGTAAAAGGTCCCCCCCCCCCCCCCCCTTCTCTCTCTGGTCTCTCTCTAGTCTCTCTCGCTGGTCTCTCTCTCTGGTCTCTCTCTAGTCTCTCTCGCTGGTCTCTCTCTCTGGTCTCTCTCTAGTCTCGCTCTGGTCTCTCTCTAGTCCCTCTCTCTCTAGTCTTTATGTAGTCTCTCTCTCTCTGGTCTTTATCTCTGGTATCTCTCTCTGGTCTCTCTCTCTAGTCTCTCTCTGGTCTCTCTCTGGTCTCTCTCCAGTCTCTCTCTCTGGTCTCTCTCTCTAGTCTCTCTCTGGTCTCTCTCTGGTCTCTCTCTAGTCTCTCTCTCTCTCTCCAGTCTCTCTCTCTGGTCTCTCTCTGGTCTCTCTCTAGTCTCTCTCTCTCTCTCCAGTCTCTCTCTCTGGTCTCTCTCTGGTCTCTCTCTAGTCTCTCTCTGGGAGGCCAGTCCCTGGGACTCTGACCCAGAGTGACTTGAAACAAACAGAGTTGCTTTAAAGTCTATTCACTGAGCCACAGGTGCAGAGACCTGAGACCAGGACTAATGTGATGGTACTTCCTGGTTCTTGTCTGGACTCGAGCTGCAGAGTTTAGAATATCCTGCAGAGAGACCAGAGGCTCCTCCACCTCCTCCAGCCTCCTCCTCCTCCTTCAGCCTCCTCCAGCCTCCTTCAGCCTCCTCCACTCTCTTCCAGCCTCCTCCTCCAGCCTCCTCCTTCAGCCTCCTTCAGCCTCCTCCACTCTCTTCCAGCCTCCTCCTCCAGCCTCCTCCTTCAGCCTCCTTCAGCCTCCTCCACTCTCTTCCAGCCTCCTCCTCCAGCCTCCTCCTCCTTCAGCCTCCTCCACTCTCTTCCAGCCTCCTCCTCCTCCTGCCTCCTCCTGCCTCCTTCAGCCTCCTTCAGCCTCCTCCTCCTACCTCCTCCTGCCTCCTCCTGCCTCCTTCAGCCTCCTTCAGCCTCCTCCTCCTACCTCCTCCTGCCTCCTCCTGCCTCCTTCAGCCTCCTCCTCCTACCTCCTCCTGCCTCCTTCAGCCTCCTCCACTCTCTTCCAGCCTCCTCCTCCTGCCTCCTCTTGCCTCCTCCACCTCCTCACATATTATCACAGTTCATGATCTCTGAGTTTCTGACCCGAGCCCGCGCCCTCTGGGTTCTGATCCCGGCTCTGGGAGTATTGATCCCAGGAGCGATGACTCCCGCGGTGCTGCCACCTCTCTGAATCTGGCCCCTGCATCTCGGGGCCTCTCCCCTGGACCCGCACACTCGGCGGGGGCCAAGATGAAGCATGCGTCCCCCGGTCTGTGGCAGTGGCCCTCGGTCTCTGTCAGCTGCCCACAGACACACCTCCTCCGGCTCAATTAATCACTCGCCCACCGCCGGGAGCTCACCGGTGGGAGCTCCGGCCGCGATTCAATACACGGAATTATTAACCCTCTTTGTTCAAGGCTCCGTCTGATCCTACAGGTCACTCACCGTCAGAGGGTCCCTCACCTCCTTTGGCTCCTGCTAATCTGAATATATAGATACAGACCTTACAACTGCACTGCAGAAAATGTTAGAATATGAGCTCTCACTCTGGTATCTCTGTGATCTCTCTTTGGTCTCTCTCTCTAGTCTTACTCTGGTCTCTCTCTGATCTTTCTCTAGGCTGTCTCTGGTCTCTCTCTGGTCTCTCTGGTCTCTCTCTGGTCTCTCTCTGGTCTCTCTCTGGTCTCTCTCTGGTCTCTCTTTGGTCTCTCTCTGGTCTCTTTCTGGTCTCTCTCTGGTCTCTCTCTGGTCTCTTTCTGGTCTCTCACTGGTCTCTCTCTGGTCTCTATAGATGCATATTTAAAGAGACAACATTGTGGGAAAATTGATAAAGCATGAGGTCATAATCGCTTGAGTCCAGTGTTTTCATCTTAATCTGACTCATTGTGATGGGACAAATATATTTGGTCTTATTCCGAGAATTGCTGCTTTATTTTCTCATTCCAAGACATTTCTGTATCAGAATGTGCTCAAAATAAATACAGGACTGTAGACCTCAGTCCTGGGTCTACAGCCTCAGTCCTGGGTCTACAGCCTCAGTCCTGGGTCTACAGCCTCAGTCCTTAGTCTACAGCCTCAGTCCTGGGTCTACAGCCTCAGTCCTGGATCTACAGCCTCAGTCCTGGGTCTACAGCCTCAGTCCTGGATCTACAGCCTCAGTCCTGGGTCTACAGCCTCAGTCCTGGGTCTACAGCCTCAGTCCTTAGTCTACAGCCTCAGTCCTGGGTCTACAGCCTCAGTCCTGGGTCTACAGCCTCAGTCCTGGGTCTACAGTCTCAGTCCTGGGTCTACACCGGGCGGCACGGTGGCTGAGTGGATAGCACTCTCGCCTCTCAGCAAGAAGGTCCTGGGTTCGAATCCCGGTCGGACCAGGGCCTTTCTGAGTGGAGTTTGCATGTTCTCCCCGTGTCTGCGTAGGTTTCCTCCGGGTACTCCGGTTTCCCCTACCGCTAAAAATATGTACAATAGGTCTGGCATGCGCCTCCTGTACTGGCGACCCCGCTCCCATCTCTGTGTGGAGTGAGAGACAAGTGCCCAAAAAAATAACAATTGTAAACCGCTTTGAGACTCAGCTCTGCAGTGAAAAGGCGGTATATAAATAATTACTTACTTACTTACTACTACTTACAGTCTCAGTCCTGGGTCTACAGCCTCAGTCCTGGGTCTACAGCCTCAGTCCTGGGTCTACAGCCTCAGTCTTGTAAATAAATGGAAATACCAACCGGATAAAGTAAATAGTTCATTTTTCCCACATTTGAAAAAACCTTTTTTCCTCCCCACTTCCTCCAACTCCTTTAATAACTCCCTGGTCCAGTCCGGCCGCTGTGGTCCTCAGCCAGTCCCTGTCATACCAGGCCAGGGACAAGTCAAACAGGTAGGAGCAGGTTGGCCCAGATCGGCGGGAGGTGTGAGCGCCGACTTCTGGAGACGATTTCCTTTGAGGCGGATCCAATTCTGCATCGCGACGTGAAGCCGGGGAAGCAGCCGGGACTCCCGACCGACGGGCTTTCTAATTCAATCTGTTCCAAACCAGCAGGAGGCGCCGCGCGAGCCAAGAAGCAAACCTTTTCATTCTCAATCCTGGTCAAAGAGAGGATGTTCGACGCCGCAGACTCACCACAAAAAGGGGTCGGTGTGAAGTCAACGGTTCTGTTTGAGGACGGGCGAGGCGGCTGTGGCTGTGGGACGTGTGGAGGGGGAAGGAGAAGGAGTGGGTTTGACTCCAGTCTGAGCGTCTCGGTGTGAGATGCAGCGGCTTGTGCAAAACAGCAAATACTCATTACAGGGAGCGTGTGAGTGTGGGGGGGAGACTGGGCTGGGGCGCTACTGCCACCTGCTGGTGGAAGAGAGGAGCGCCTGGGTGGTTACAGTTTTTCTCTATGCTTTGGTGCATTTCTTGCATCAGACTTAAAGTTCTCAAAACTATGAATTCAACCTCCACAACACTGAGTCATGTGTTACATCATCGCAGCAGTTTCTCCTTTGAACACTTTACAAATGCTTTTGTTCATGTATCAGTTACTTTCATACTATTCTCTGCTGTTTTTTAACATTATCATTTGCTTCTGTCGTGTCAAAATGAACCATACTTATGACTTCTGAACAGTCTTTCATGATAAAACTAACTGTCCTCATTTCATCTCTCTGATCGTCACAAACAAAACTGTTAAACTAGTACAAAATCATATTTGTCAAACTAATTTCATACATTCCTTTGTCTTTTTTTTCCTGTACATCTTTCCTAAATTGAACAATTGCTCTCAGGTGAGTTTCAGCTTCACTCATGAGGAAGTGTGTGTTTTATTGTTTACATTTGTCACAGTTCTACCATCATGATATTCTGTATGTGTGTTCTATGTACATACATGTAAGTGACTGTGTTTTTGTTGCACAGTGCAGTAGAACTGCAAAGAGCAAATATGTGAAAGACATGCAGTACATATATACATACAGTACACGGACATACAGTACACGGACATACAGTACACGGACATACAGTACACAGACATACAGTACACGGACATACAGTACACGGACATACAGTACACGGACATACAGTACACGGACATACAGTACACAGACATACAGTACACAGACATACAGTACACAGACATACAGTACACGGACATACAGTACACAGACATACAGTACACAGACATACAGTACACAGACATACAGTACAGATATACATACAGTACACAGACATACAGTACACGGACATACAGTACACGGACATACAGTACACAGACATAAACACACACATACAGTGCCTTGCGAAAGTATTCGGCCCCTTGAAACTTTCAACATTTTGCCGCATTTCAGGCTTCAAACATAAAGATATAAAAATTACATTTTTTGTCAAGAATCAACAACAAGTGGGACACAATCGTGAAGTGGAACAAAATTTATTGGATAATTTATACTTTTTTAACAAATAAAAAACTGAAAAGTGGGACGTGCAATATTATTCGGCCCCTTTGCACTAATACTTTGTAGCGCCACCTTTTGCTGCAATTACAGCTGCAAGTCGCTTGGGGTATGTCTCTCCTCTACATTCAGACCTATTGTGCATGTTTTTAGTGGTAGAGGAAACCGGAGCACCTGGAGGAAACCTACGCAGACACAGGGAGAACATGCAAACTCCACGCAGAAAGGTTCTGACCGGGATTCGAACCCAGGACCTTCTTGCTGAGACCATGGGGAAACCATGTATCCATGTGTTCTACGATGGTCTCTCTGTCAAGGACCATGGGGAAACCATGTATCCATGTGTTCTACAATGGTCTCTCTGTCAAGGACCGTGGGGAAACCATGTATCCATGTGTTCTAAAATGGTCTCTCTGTGATCCGCTCTGTAGTGGCATTAGACTGATGCACAAGGGAAATAACCTCAGAACTATTTATTTGTATATCGCCCTAAATCACAGATAATAACTGTGCCGTGGAAAAGTGACGCCTGCTTTTAGTGTCACTCCAAATGAACAAATAACGGAAAATAAAACATGAACCATGAAGCACAAGTGTCCAGGTGAGATGTGCCGTTTCAGCGTTTAATATCACAGAAAAATGAGAACAAAAACAGTAACAAACGACAGAAAATAATATCTACTGAGGCTGTAGACCCAGGACTGAGGCTGTAGACCCAGGACTGAGGCTGTAGACCCAGGACTGAGGCTGTAGACCCAGGACTGAGGCTGTAGACCCAGGACTCAGGCTGTAGACCCAGGACTGAGGCTGTAGACCCAGGACTGAGGCTGTAGACCCAGGACTGAGGCTGTAGACCCAGGACTCAGGCTGTAGACCCAGGACTGAGGCTGTAGACCCAGGACTCAGGCTGTAGACCCAGGACTGAGGCTGTAGACCCAGGACTGAGGCTGTAGACCCAGGACTGAGGCTGTAGACCCAGGACTGAGGCTGTAGACCCAGGACTCAGGCTATAGACCCAGGACTGAGGCTGTAGACCCAGGACTGAGGCTGTAGACCCAGGACTCAGGCTGTAGACCCAGGACTGAGGCTGTAGACCCAGGACTGAGGCTGTAGACCCAGGACTGAGGCTGTAGACCCAGGACTGAGGCTGTAGACCCAGGACTCAGGCTGTAGACCCAGGACTGAGGCTGTAGACCCAGGACTGAGGCTGTAGACCCAGGACTGAGGCTGTAGACCCAGGACTCAGGCTGTAGACCCAGGACTGAGGCTGTAGACCCAGGACTGAGGCTATAGACCCAGGACTGAGGCTGTAGACCCAGGACTGAGGCTTTAGACCCAGGACTGAGGCTGTAGACCCAGGACTGAGGCTTTAGACCCAGGACTGAGGCTGTAGACCCAGGACTGAGGCTGTAGACCCAGGACTGAGAATGTGAATTAAACATTACATCTTTGTCACATTTGGCCCCAAACAAAATAGCGGTGAACACTTCCTTGTTGCGCTACATGGAGCTAGCGTGTTAGCATCGTCCATCTGTGTACAGTGTGTGGGTGTGAGCTCCTGTAATTAGCTTCAGTGTCGGTCGGAGCCAAGAACTCACCGTCAAAGCTAATCATCACAGACAGCGGGGAGCAGATGTACGCAGCGGGACTATAACTGCCCTGGCTGGGTTAAAGGCGCTATACCCGTTTCTGCAATGTTTGAATGTTTAGCACCGCCCCCAACTCGCTCAATGGCTTCTCATTTCCCCTACGCTCTCATAACACAGAGCCACCTAGTTTTATTTGCGATCTGATACGTATGCTAACATTAGCATTAGCGCAACTTCTTGTAAGCTGTGCAACAATCACTGATGAAATGGCACTAAAGCAACGCACTGCTAACACAATATATAAGTAAAAGAATACCGCTAGTTTCGCGTCCGAATGTATTGATTTAAAACCTTAGAATATATTCTAATATTTAATTATAATTTGTTATAGAGCTACTCAAAGCAGCAGCAGCAATTCTTCCGATCATTTTTCTTGATAACAGAACTCTCAAACCAATAATGACCGAAGCCCCAATGCAACCTGTTTGTAATTCAGGTGTGTAAAATAATGCCATTACTCTGCAAGTACAAAACGCTATCAGCGCCTGTCACTACACACTCGTCTGTGTAGAGAAGCTAGCGGAGCTAGCCACGCTCAATAAACAAATACATATCAATCAACACCATTAAACGTCAATCGGACAATACAGTATACATATACATCCTTAACACACATGCACGGATGATTTCAGAATTTGCTGTTAACGTTTTCATAACAAAAATACTGTTTCAATGTGACAAAAAGCGATTGCGAAAAACCCGGAAGTTACCATGAAACAACTAGCTAGCTTAGCTGTTACCTGCCTAGCACGTCCCGGTGAAACCTTTGGGAGCTAACTATTTTATTTGCAGTCATTCAATACATTTCGAATTACAAGGGTTGTCTAATATTTGTTCAATTTTTTTTATTCAATAATTTTTTTCATCATTTTTTATTTTAGAATTATATTCGAATTTTGAAGTCCAGCGCTGTAGGGGCTAGAGGACACAGACTGTAGAGACTAGAGGACACAGACTGTAGAGGCTAGAGGACACAGGCTGTAGAGACTAGAGGACACAGGCTGTAGAGGCTAGAGGACACAGACTGTAGAGGCTAGAGGACACAGGCTGTAGAGGCTAGAGGACGCAGGCTGTAGAGGCTAGAGGACACAGGCTGTAGAGACTAGAGGACACAGGCTGTAGAGACTAGAGGACACAGGCTGTAGAGACTAGAGGACGCAGGCTGTAGAGGCTAGAGGACACAGGCTGTAGAGACTAGAGGACACAGGCTGTAGAGGCTAGAGGACGCAGGCTGTAGAGGCTAGAGGACACAGGCTGTAGAGACTAGAGGACACAGGCTGTAGAGACTAGAGGACACAGGCTGTAGAGGCTAGAGGACACAGGCTGTAGAGACTAGAGGACACAGGCTGTAGAGACTAGAGGACACAGGCTGTAGAGACTAGAGGACACAGGCTGTAGAGACTAGAGGACACAGACTGTAGAGACTAGAGGACACAGGCTGTAGAGACTAGAGGACACAGGCTGTAGAGACTAGAGGACACAGGCTGTAGAGGCTAGAGGACACAGGCTGTAGAGACTAGAGGACACAGGCTGTAGAGACTAGAGGACACAGACTGTAGAGACTAGAGGACACAGGCTGTAGAGACTAGAGGACACAGGCTGTAGAGACTAGAGGACGCAGGCTGTAGAGACTAGAGGACACAGGCTGTAGAGACTAGAGGACACAGGCTGTAGAGACTAGAGGACACAGGCTGTAGAGACTAGAGGACACAGGCTGTAGAGACTAGAGGACACAGACTGTAGAGACTAGAGGACACAGGCTGTAGAGACTAGAGGACACAGGCTGTAGAGACTAGAGGACACAGGCTGTAGAGGCTAGAGGACACAGGCTGTAGAGACTAGAGGACACAGACTGTAGAGACTAGAGGACACAGGCTGTAGAGACTAGAGGACACAGGCTGTAGAGACTAGAGGACACAGGCTGTAGAGACTAGAGGACACAGGCTGTAGAGACTAGAGGACACAGGCTGTAGAGACTAGAGGACACAGGCTGTAGAGACTAGAGGACACAGACTGTAGAGACTAGAGGACGCAGGCTGTAGAGACTAGAGGACACAGGCTGTAGAGACTAGAGGACACAGGCTGTAGAGACTAGAGGACACAGGCTGTAGAGACTAGAGGACACAGGCTGTAGAGACTAGAGGACACAGGCTGTAGAGACTAGAGGACACAGGCTGTAGAGACTAGAGGACACAGGCTGTAGA